TTAGACTAGAATAGCATCTTAACTGTCAACTAGCAATCATCATTAAGGACATAAATTTCAGTAGTGAAAGAACTTCATTTGCTGGTGATTCAGTATGGACTTAAGTCAAGGTGCTGATTCTGATTTTTAAAGCTCCACCTACCTAGATCTGGAAAATCTGGGAATACACTCTTTCCATACAAGCTTACATAGCTATTAAATCCTCTAGATGGAACCTTATTGTGGATGCTTTCCTGATTGGATATAAGGATGGTATCTACTAGAAACAGGATTTTTTCCAACAATGAAGAGAATATTCATTAAATACTCTCCAACACAAAATGAGCAAGATGTGTACTCTTTTGAAAGTGGTCTGTGACCATTTATTTTAAGATGCTTTAAGGAATGTTTTTTAATTTAGTTGCTATTTTTCCTTAATAACTTTTTAAAATATTATAAATACACCTGAACTTTTTATAAGTTATTTTAAAACCAGTAACACACATACATGCATTATATCTGTGACAATTACCTATATAGGAATCTCATGCAACTTTCTCTTTAAACTTTACAATGATTGTACAAAAATGTAATTTATACTAGCAAAAAGGCCTATACTGTAATATTGCTACAAAAAGGACTTTGGACTTGAAATTAAAGCATATGGATTCAGACTTTCATGTAAATTGGAATTAAATCAGACAACAGCTAGCTTTGACAGGGTTTTCTTCAGAAACACACATTTCAAATTTATCTTTTACTACTGCTAGTACAGTCCAATAACAATCTAAGGTTAAGAACAGAAATATCTAAACACAACCCAGGGTTCTATCTTATATTAAATTCCCTTCCATTGCTTTCTTAAAAAGATCTCTTATTAAAATGGAAGACTGCTGCCAATCAAATAAGACAGAACTGGATTAGATGGATAAATAATTGGATATGAACTACTTTGGATTTCCATTAAAACAGTCACCATATGAAACAGAATTCTATTGCAATAGTTTTTGGCTCAAAAACTTTAGCTATGAATCCTTCCTAAGTCTTTCAATACATGTAGCTCTAGGGAGACATGGGATCTCTTTCCCACATCCTGGCATGAAATGAGACACCCAACCTCATCTCCTTACTTTATGGTTATATAAAAATTATATTGTCAGAGAAATTTCTAGACTGTGATTGTTTATAAATCCTATTCATAGGTCTTCTGGATTTTTTTCCATATTATGAAATGCCCTAATGATACTTCATTTGGAATGCAACATACTATTTCTGTCACCCATCATGTAAGTTTTAAACTTTAAAATCTATAAAGCTCTCACAGGAATAAACAGGATTATGCATTTGTAATCCATGAAGTCAGTGTATATATTCATGATCATTTTTGACAATACAGAATAACTACTACTATCCTAATGTGACAGATATTAATGTTTAAATTTATATACACAAATTTTGATACTGAAATTGTGGTTTCCCACACTAACCATTATTTTTCAATCATCCAAGAATGTCACTTTATATAAACGTCCATGTTATGTGATAATATGTATTTAAAACAAGGGACTCTCTGTTCCTCTCAAAAAAACAAACAAAAGCTTATTTACATTTTTTTGAAGTTAACTAAAAATGGGCAAGTAGAAACTGCATTTGGTATTGAGATGTTGTCTACTTTTTCCTTAGGTGGAGAAGTAAGGAATTATGCATACTTTTAGCTATTTCTTCTTGATTCCAATCCCATCAAGTACAGACTGGTTCCTGTATTTTTCCCAAGTAGAGCTAAAAAATAATTGATCATCCAAGCAAATTTCAGTTACTTGCCAGCACACCAATTGACCATGGCTCAATAAACCTGGATTTTTCAACCATCTTGAGGACCATAATGACTGACTGCTGGCTCACACTCAGCTGGTGAGTTCTAAGTTACTGAATTGTGGGTGACTGACACATAATCTGTAACAATGAAAAAAATTGTGCAAGCAGTTTGTATCATCTTTCTCTATTTTTTAGGCCTTCTATGAAAAAAAGAAATAAAGGAGTACAGCATATCTCATCTCCAAACCAGCATACTCATAACTGTTTTATTGACTAATTGATTTTATTTATTTCAGTCAATTTATATGGCTATCCATCTCGCAAACACAACTATGGGAGACTGACAGAGTTAAAACCATACAGCCACTGAAATAAAAAGAAAAACTGAAGACAAGGGCAACAACACACTATGGCAACCAAGGATACCAGCAACCAACACACCTGGGCTCAACTTCTCTAATTCCCTGACCCCCATGCCTGGGAAAATAGCCAGGTCTTAATGGCTTTCCAAAAGGCCAGCAGGATTTGGTCTAACCTAATTTCAGGTGGTATGGTATTCCAGAGGGCAGGCACTGTGACAAAAAAGACATGCTTCCCAAGTCCTACAAGATAGTACTTTCTAACTGATGCAACCCAGAGAATAGGATACCACAGGATAAACAGAAAAAAAAAAAAAGCAAAACGCAAAAGGCACCACTTCCACATCATGTGTAAAGAAGTACTACCTATGTATATAACACTGTTAGTTTTTACATGGATTATTTAATCATGGATTAAAAAGATGCAAATTATCTTTCTGACCACATGCTGCTAAACATGTTTAGCTTTCTTCAACCCCTCATTCACCATTCAAAAGTAAAAACAAATTAAAAACAGGGAATATATTTAAGAACTATTATTCAAAGATCGCTGAACTAAACTGACTGCATGAACACATATAACATGGACTATTCTAATGAAGCAAGTTTGAAGAAATAACAGAATACATTATACATTAAGGGTGGTATAATAATGTAACAATAGACAGAATAGTATGGGCACAAGAAAAACAAAATGTCCTTGAGGAATACAACGTTTTCAGTATCCTCATAAAAGCTGTCAAAAAATCCCAAGAAGCTACTTGACCCTTTTTAGAGACCTTCAATATATTTTTTCAATAATGTAGAAAATAGACATATTAATTAGAACAGCAATAAAAAGAGATAAATGTTGTCTATCTAGACACAATCTGTGATCATTTAAATGCTGTAATTCAAAAAAGAATTTAAGTAATGACTATTTTCTCCATTGAATTTCCTATTCTAAAACAAGTTAGCCCCAATTTAGATTTTACAACAGCAGTATGAAGATGTCTATATTAAAGTCCAGCAATCACTGCAGTAATGTCCAAACAGAGAAATCACATGCCCTGTGTGAGAAAATCCAGTATCTTTTTGCATTATGTCATTTGGTAGGACCATTTAGACCTATTGGACTAAAAACATTATGGATTTCATTGCTCACTTTTGGATTTACCTTGTGCTATCCTTTGTACTACATATTATTTTGTCAGAAGTTTATGCACTTATTCTCATTTTTTCCCATATACAGAACTGTACCAAATATTCCACCCTGATTACAAATTACTTCAGTATTTGCAGTTCAAAGAATTTGTGAATCCTAATGCGCAGTACTCTAAAATCTATCATCATTTTATCTACCCAAAATTGTATCTAAAACAAACATTCTGCCATTCACTAGTGAGGAACTGCAACCCTGCCTCCCAGAAAGAGCATGGTAGAAAGAGAAAAAACAGCCCTGCTCATCTGTTTGGTCTAAGGACGAGAACTGTAGTTTATTTCTTTTCTAGAAAGAACACATTGCTCTAAAAGCAGTTCTGAGACTGACAGAATGTACATTCCGAGTTCTGTTGTATATTTATATTATTTTAATACACTAGATACTGCCTCAAGGAGTATGACTGAAATACTCTGTTAAACAGATAACAAGTAATGAAATAACAGTCACACTGAATACTAACAGATAATTGTTTTATGTTTAAACAGCATGTTAACAGGATATTTTGCTACAGTTGTGTTTATTTTAAATGTAAAAGGAACATATATATACCTATAAATTAATTCTGAAACATTTGAGTTTTTCAAAACTGTCACTATGATGATAGTTTCAGCTGCCACCCTGCCTTAAGATGCACATCTAATCATAGTAGAAATCAGCTTGCCTGGAGACTGTCAGTTAGGAGGCCCTCATGACTATCAACAGGCTCAGGCAAAGGAGGCCTATTCCCAAGTAGACTGACTCACCAAATCAATTTTTAAGCTGAGTGTAGGAGGGGAACAGAACGCCTTCAGAAAGACCATTGAAATGTATATAGTGCATAAACGCTCAAATGCTGCTAACAACTCATCTGCAGCAAGCTGATATTAAATAACAAACCTGAAATAGGTTAAGTTGCACAAACAATCTAGGGTGGAGAGAACAACATACCTGCCAATAACCCAGCAGCTGCTTGTTGCCCTCAATGCTCCCCCTTCCCATGTGTCAAGACTATCTCAGCAAGCAACTCACCAGAATGAAGCATCCCCTGCATTTATCCTCCTCCCATAAAACAACATCATGACTTTCACTATTTGCATGGCAGATACGAAAGAGACCGTTTGCCTTTCCTCATGTCACCCTGACTTCACATTCCCTCCCTTTTCAAGAGACCCAACAAATACCAACTTAGTTTAAGCGGGTAAAACGCCATCCCAGAACCAAGGGGGAAACACAGAGCACGAGGGCTTATTTCTTAAGAGCAAATAAAAAAACCCCCCCCCCCCCAGTAAGGGAACGGCAGGGCCCTACATTGAGGAACTAATTTACTCCGCTTCATGCACCGCAACCAGGCTGAATGAAATATTACTCACAGGGAAGTGATCCATCCCAACAAAGCTTAATCCTAAATAAGGGAGAAGGAGGGGGGGCGGCCGGGGGTCATTTGTACACTGGCAATCTTTCTAACCGAAAATCGTCCCCGCTCCGAGAAATGGAGAAGCGGCTGGCCAGCGCTCTTGGGCGACCCTCCCTTCTGCCTACGGAAGACTCCCCGGGCGAGCCTCCACCCTCAGCCCAGACTCCATTCACTGCCATTCTGAAAATGGGAGCCGGCGACGCGAGAGGCAGCGGGGGGCTCCCGTCCCGGCTCCCGGCAGGCCCTCCGTTACCTCGGGTGAGATCGAGGGGGACGTTCTCCTCGCCGCTGTCGTTCCGGCCTGGAGGGGAGAAAGGAGAGACAAGAGCAGGAGCTTCGGTTAGAGATGGAAGCCGCACCGCGGCTGTCGAGCAGCCAGCTGAGGCAGGAGCGAGGACGGGGCGCCGGAGAGACGCCGCTCCCTTCCCGCCTGCCTGCCTGCCACGGTCT